TGATAACAGCTGCAAAGACTGGCAAGATGATTCCCAAACCAGTGGTCCCACATGCTCTGTCCCTTCCTCCTGGTGTGCCACCAACCTCTCTGATGTCAGTGACCCCTCCCCACATGGGAGCAAACCCACGTGTGCTTCAGGAACGCGAGCCTACGCTCCTTTGACAAATCTGAGGAGGATTGAGATCATTTCTCCCTTTGTTTTGGGGGGAGGGGGTGGCCTCTGCGCAGGCAGTTTCTGCGTGGTGCGTTACTTGTGCTCTGTGGGTTCCTCCAGAGAGGTGACAGGCGGCCCTGGCTCTGACTCACGTGGCTTTAACTGTTGCTGTGGCTCCCCTGGAGCTGAGGTGTTCCCTTTGAAGGATCTCCATCCTCTGTGAAGCTGCTGCTGCTCAGAGTTTAAGCTGATTCTGTTAGATCTTGAGGACTAACGCAGAGTTTCTTTTCTCTCATCTGTGCCTGAGGCTGTTGACTGTAGAAGCTGCCTTGGAAAGGGCTCTGGCAGTCCCAGTGCTCTCAGGGAGCAGAGTGCTCACAGGCTGACCTGTGGCAGGTCAGCCCTCCCATGGATCCGTGGAAGTGGGGTGACTTCTGGGAGTTCAAGGTGTCTAGTGTTGCCAGCAGGGGAGGTGTGTCTCTCCCTCGTGTCTCCTGCCTTTCAGCACATTTACCTCACACTGCCGTTTGTTCTTCACAGCAAGATTGCTGGGTTTTGAGGAGCCATTATCACTGTCAGTGTGGAATGCCCTTGGATTTAGCTTGTCCCTCACTCCAGTAGGTGTCCTTTGGGTTATCTGGTGTTGCTCTGCTTTTATGCCTACTGGATCAGTCAGTAAAGAGGGATTCTCCACCCAGTGCTGCACATGCATTTGATCCAAATGTGTGTTTCTGCAGATTTTCCTCTATTTTTTTTAGCAATCCTTTGCAAAGTTCTGTTGCCAGGGCTAGATTTGTTGCTTTGTTGGCCTTTGCTGGCTGACTGCTGATTGCCTTCCCCTAAGAACTTCTGCCAAGTCATGGCACGTGCTGCCATGTGCCTGCTGGAAACGTGTGGATCTTTCCTTGCCTTCTCCAGGAGACCTCCCCACCTCCAAATCCTGAGGCTGGGAAATTCCTGAGAGCGTATTCTCGCTGTGGCTCTGGGATCAAGCCCTGCAGACTGCTCTCCCCAAGGCCTGTCAGAGCCAAAAGTGCAGACACAGAGACTCCAGAGGCACAGGGTGCTGAAAGCAAGGTGAGTGGCACACTGACTGCATCCATCCCGGGGATTTCTGGCACCCATGCATCCCAGTGGTTTCCTGGTTGTGGGTGTGTGCCCAGAGGGCCCTTGATCCCTCTCTCTCCATTCTTCCAGATCCAGGTGGAGGGCAGGAGCATCGACTTCATCAAGCACAACGCCTGCAATGCCAAGCGGGCCCCGCTGCGCCGCTCCCAGTCCCTGCAGGCACTGGCCGAGCTGCTGGCACAGAAGCACCGGGAGCAGGAGGAATACAACACCAAACAAAAGGGCCATGTCCCCCAGTAGTATGTATGACCCACCCTGTAACAGCCTTCACTGCATCCCCCAGCTTCTGCATAGAGAGGCAGGGGTTGGGGACAGAGCTGCGCTCACCGTGCCATTTACCGTGTCCTGGGGAATAAACACTGTCCATCCTGCCTTCCTAACTTAACAGGCATCAGATGGCCAGTGCAACTGGGCTCAGGAGTTTTATCTCCTCCTCCAATGCTTGCCACTGTGATGCTGAGATGAGGATGCTCTGTGTGCTCCTGCCCCTTTCTGAGCTTTGCAGCTTCAGCACTAAAAGGTCTGGTTTTGGAGAGGCAGAGAGCTCACTCTGCCTCACAAGTGTTCAGCCTGCCTTGGACCTGAAGTCTGAGGAACATTTGAGGGTTCTATGTGGAAAGCTGTTCCTGGGAAAGCCCTTGTCCTGGGACCGACCACAGTTCTCAGTCCTTTGGCTGTGCTGTTCCCTGCCAGCATCCTTGGCCATGAGCTGCTCTGTCCAACTTCATTCTGCCACTGGCCCAGAGATGGTTTTGTGAGGGCTCAGTGAGGCAGAAACAAGGAGCAGCATCTCTTGTCTCCAAGGAGCACCTGTTGGCCTGAGTGTGTCACCAGCCCTTTGGTGGAGTGTGTTTGCCCACGTGTGGGCTAAACCCAGGCGCGTGCCAGCACGTGGATCCCTTTGGTCCTCAGGCAGTGACATGGAGTGTAGCAGGGTTTGAAGGTCACGATTCCTGGTCTCTGCCTGTGTCCCTGGGCTACCCCTCCTGCCAGATGTGCCAACAGCTGCTCTCCTTTGCCTTGCAGCCTGCTGGAGAGGAAGGAGCTGTGGCGCAAACAGATGGAGGAGCAGCTGCGGAACCTGCCGGATCCCGACACACCGCCTGGTCACACCATGATGCCAGAGGACCAGCGGCTGGAGACCCTCAGCAACCTGAAGCAGAGTAAGAGGAAAAAAAAAAAGTGCATTCCAGTTCAGAGAAACAGGCAATCACAGCCAGGATAAGGGGGAAGAGAGTTGTGGGGCACAGATTCCTGCCACTTGAAGAGTTGCCTGGAACAAGGCATATGCAGGCAGGATGTGAGCTCTGTGTGTGGAAAGAGCAGTCAGTCTCCTGCAGAGACCTGCAGGTTACAGGAGTGGTTCTCTGGAGCAGGCTTGTCCAGTGGACCTGATGTTAGGGTTACTATTACTCCTAAAATGTTGGAAAGGTTTTAGTTGGAATGGACCCTCGGAGGTCTCTAGTCCAATCCTTGGTCCTTCAAAGCTGGAGTAGGTCCTTCAGGTCCTCATCCAGCTGAGCTTTGAATAGAAGCATTCTAGGTCCATATTCTAGTGCTGCCATCATTTTCATGGCTTGGGATGGGGTCATAGCATTAGGAAAATTATGGATTTATTGGGTCTTCAACTTATTTCTCTTTTTACAGGCCAGGAGCAGCTGATAAAGGACCTGGTTCTGCTGCCAATGCGTGGAGACTCCCTCAAGATGCAGAACAGGCGGGTAGATCTGGAGAGGAAGCTCTCCCAGATAGAAGAGGCAATCAAAATTTTCTCGAGGCCCAAGGTCTTCATCAAGCTGGACTCCTGAGCCAGTGGGGCCACAGGTGTGCTGTGCTGCTCTGCATGAACATCCTTCCTTGCTGTGCAGGAATGGACATCTTTAGGAGGGAAGGAGAGGAAGGCATGTTCCAGACCCTGGGCCCATGCAGGTGCTGGTACAGTGTCCAGTGTTCAGCTGGCAGCCTTTGCTCACCCTCCAGTGCTGTGTCTTGTCCACAGAAAAGGGAGGGAGATGACCTAATATACTCCTTGCTCAGTGGTCTGGAGAACAGTTGTCTCTGTGCTGCTTGACTTCTCCCAGATCACCTCTCTGCTCTGGATCCATGCCATCACCTCTCATTTTCCCATTTTTTTCCCACTTCTAGAAACTAGTAGGAGATCTCCTGTGCTGTGCCTGCGGTGTTCCTTGTCACTGTTTTCCTCCTGAGCTGGACCATGCTCGTGGCTCATCCTGAGCACCTGCAGGCTCAGCAGGTTGGGGACAAATTGGGACAAGGAAGAGGCATAGATCTTCAATGCTCCCTGCCTGGGGAAGGGCTGAGCTGGCAGGGGGATCTGGTGGGATGTCTGCAGAAGCCTTTGTTGTCTGTGGGGCAGGAGGTGCTCTAATAAATCATCATTTCCATCTCTCAGTGTTTGTGCAGCTCCCAGTAGGCCAGTAGACCTTGCCGAGGCTCTGTCCCCAGACAGTGCCACCCTCAGCTGGCACACCCTTTTTGCCCTGAAGTCCCACCAAACTTTCCCTTGTTGCAGCTTGTGCTGTTGCCCCATCTCTTATCCTTGTGTGGGGTGGGGATACTGCACACGGATCCCCAAGCAGCTGCCTTGTTACAGGGGTGACTCCAATTCTGGGCAGGATTTTGTGGGGTGGGGATGTTGTGGAGCATTCCAGCCCTGCTGGCGCTCTGCGGTGCCCTGGGATGTCAGGGCTGGGCCGACACTGCTGCCAAGGGCCAGGGAAACTTCTGGCACTCCAAGGCTGGAGGAGATAAGATGCCAACCAGAAAATCACCCCACATGATCCTGGGGCTGCCTCGGGGCAGACACCACAGCCAGGCTGAGCCGGCTGGATGGGAGCAACCAGGGGCCATGGGCACAGCCCCCGGGCACCTCCCTGCCCAGAACAAGCCTGGGCTAACCAGCCCTGCTGTCAGATCTGCTCTCAGGTCTGTCTGGGCCCTGGCTGTGTGCTGTGTGTCCTCAGCCCTCGCTGCTCTCCCTGCCTGCCCTCGGTGCTGATCCAACCTGGCTGCTCCTGTGTGGCTGCTGGCAAGATTTTGGCTACAGCAGCCCAGGGAGCTGCATGTGGTTTGGGTTTTGGGAATCAGCAAAGGCAATGGGACACAGCCCTCCTTTCCTGCAGAGGTGACCAGCTCTGCTGCCAGGGGGGTGTGTACTTCATATCACCCCAGGGGAGACAGTCCAGGGCACATCCCATGGGGTTTCCTCTTGGAGAGCCCCCGTGCCGTGAAGGGTCTTGCTCCCCAAGCACTCGTGTCCTGCTGGGGCAAATGGGCTGGAGAGCACTGCCCTCAGATGCCCACTCCCTGCCAGACCTGTGCCTGGGCTGCTTCACTGGCAAACATGGGTGGGGGCCCCATCAGGTTGGGCCACAGTTGTTGGACAAAATGTGAATGGGATTTCCAAGCAAGGCTCACTGCACCAGGCCATCATGCCAGGTGGCTGCCCAAAGCAGCCTGGATGTGTGCCACGGCACAGGGAGGTTTAGGGGGAGGGATGTGCTTCAGCATCCCTCCAAACCCCCCTTTCCCCATGATGGGCCTCACTGGGGCCACCCAGCACAGCAGCAAAGCCAACGTGTGCCAAGGCCAAGGCTGCCACTCCCAGGCACTGCCACCTGCACGGGGCTGGGGTGCCCGCCTGCCGTCCCCTCCTCCCTGCGGTGACACTCAAAGGGAACCAGGGACAAGCGCTGTGCTTTCTAGAAAAGGTTTTACTGTCCATTGCAATATATTAATTGATGATGCATATTTCGAGAAAACAATTAAAAATCCCCGCTTGCTTGGAAGGGGAGGCAAGGGGGCTCGGAGGGGCAGTGCCCGGCATGAGCAGGCGCCGCAGCAGGGCTCGCAGGGACGCACGGGTGGTGGGAGAGGGCAGTGGGGCAGCCCCGCTCCACCCCTGCCCGCCGCGTCATCACCCTGGTGTCCACATCCAGCCGGGGTGAGCGGAAACCCGGACAGCTGCCGAGTGGCACAGGGACCCCACGGCTATAGGGTGAGGAGGGTGCCGTCCTCCCGCCCGCTGCCCCGGCCGGGGCTGCCGTCGTGGCTGCCCAGGGACTGCAGGGAGCCCCGCGAGCTGTGCGGGGACAGGCTGCGCTGGAGGGGTCCGTCGGCGGGGCCCCCGTTGGGGCAGCCCCCGGGGGTGTAGTGGGAGGCGCTGTCGCTCTCGATGACCAGGTCGCCCTCCTCGTCGCTCTCGGCCGTGCTGTAGTTGCTCAGGTACTGCGAGGCCGGGCTGGGGGTCTGCTGGCTGGGGGTGCTGTCCGTGGACATGCCGGAGCTGCCCGAGGCCTTGCTGCTGCGGATGACGTTGTTGCGCTGGTTGGCCGGCTTGACGGTGATGATGAGGTTGTGGCTGTTGGCCACCATCATGTCCGTCACTTGGTCCAGGGACTTGCCGGCGACGTCGATGCCGTTCACCTCCAGGATCTCGTCGCTCACCGCCAGCAGCCCCGTGCTCTCGGCCAGGCCGCCCTTCACCAGGCGGGAGATGAAGATGCCGGGCACCTTCTCGACGCCCTGCGGGGCCACGCGCACGCTGACGCCGTCGCGGATGTAGAAGCCCAGCGGCTTGTCGGAGCCGTGCTTGTGCAGCCGCACGCGGCGGTGGGTCTCGGGCAGGATGTCCACGTCGATGATGGAGGAGATCTGGCGGAAGTCCTGGGGCATCCCGATGAGGAGGTGAGGCTTGGCCCGGTAGTGCGCGGGGCGCAGCAGCCCCTTCTTCTTCCGCTGCAGGGAGTTGGAGGCGAAGACGCTGGCGTCGGACTCTGCTGTAGGGAGCGAGGGAGGACACAGGTCAGGCACCGCAGCCGCCCAGGGATGAGACCGTGTGCCCTTGGCCCCAGGGGTTGGGGGAACTGGCAGCAGAAGGGCCCTGCTCGCAGGTCTCACCGGCTTTTCCTCCCCGGAGCATCACCCTGGCTTTCCCCGCAGCCTGTCTCCGCTGGGGCCCATCTCCTGGGATTACCCAGCATACACAGGCCAGGATTAGTGGGATCCAGGCAGTGATTCAGCCTTAATCACACTTTAAGCCAAACTCTGTTGTTTAACACTAGAGCTGCCAGCCCTGATGGCCTGGGAGCTGCAGCCATGCCCCAGTTTGGGTTTGGGGAGAGGGGATCCCCCCATACGAGGGGTGCTGCAGTGGCAGCCAACTCCCTGAGAGTGAGTCCAGCCCTGGGAGCCACCACCAGAGTCCCTGGGCCCCACTAGAGTATGGCCATCACTGGCATGGGCTGGGGATGGCCACCAGTATGTGCTATAGAACCCTGCCATCCCCAAGGTCAGACACTCCTCAGCTCCTGAAGATCCTTCCCGGGGCTGCAGCATCCCCAGGGCCACTGAACATCCCAGGCTGTGAGTTGTGCCAGTGTCTCTCATGCACCTTCACACAGGGTTTGACACTCCTCCTGGACCCTGCCCTGCTAAGCTGCAACACATCCTGCTTGGCTCCATCCACCAAGTGCTGGGGAGCATCCCCTGGTTCCTCTCTGGTTTCTCCCCATCCCTTTCCATGTGGGAGTCCAGATCTGGATGCTGCATGGTCAGCACATTCCCCACAGTGCCCCCCACCAGCACTCAGCCCCTGCTCCAGCCTCAGGAGTGCTGGGGATGTCCCCAAACCCAGGGGACATGGTGATTTCTCCCTAGTCAAACCAGCCTGCCAGGGCTCCTGGCTTATAAATATCTTCCTGCACACACAGCCTGGCATATTTTTAGCTCGGGGAAGGGCGGCGGAGGCTTTCCCACAGCTATTTCAGCACACGAGCTCCTCTCCAAGGGGCACAGAGTGGCTGGGCCAGGCAGGTCCAGCACCCCATGGATGAGCCTGCTGGTGGCCCTGGCAATGTGCCAGGCTCTTCTCTGCCCTTCCCACGAGCCTTGGCCCAGCCAAGGAGGAGCAGTGCCACCGTCCCAGCCAGGCTGCCCCACCGGGATGGCTTCACCCGAGGGGGTGATGGCTCAGAGGGGAAATCAACCTTTGCTTTTTGCCCCCTTGCAGCAGGGCTGGCTGCTGCAGAGCCCACTGGTGGGTGCACACCTACCCACACAGGTGTGCACAGCTCCCTGTGCCCGGTGCTGTGAGAGGCTCTGCAGCCACATTCCCCAGCGACCCGGACCGGTTCAACGACAGCCCAGCCTTGGGATGACCTGGATCCATTTTAAATCAGCTGTGACTCACCCAGGGCTTGCTCCTGGCCTCTCTGCACACCTCCCCGTGGTGCTGCCGGCCCCTTGGCCCCTCTCCTGCAGGCACAGCTGGGTGCTGGGGCTTGCTGGTGTTGCCTCCTCGCCCTCCTTATCACACTGCCCGCAGTGCCAGGGCTGTGGCTCCTGCTCTCCACACTGTGCCGTCTGGCATGGTCACTCACAGGCCCTCACAGGCTTTTCCCAGCACCAGACAAGGTGGCTCTGGGAGCAGGAGCAGCCCTGGCACAGCCACCCCTGCGCCAGCTCTCCGTGCCACAGCCTGGATCCAAGCGTTGCTCCAGGAATGGGAGGGCTCGGCACTGGCAGCGACAGCCCCTGAGCATAACACGGGCTCCAGCAGCCTGGATTGCTGCTGCTGCTGGCCCCACACCATGTGGCCACAGAGAAAATGCACACCACCCTGATGCAAAAGCCCAGGAAAACTGGCACAGCAGCCAGGGCTGGCCATCGGCATCACCGCTTGCCCAGAGACTTGGTACCACTAAGATGAGCTAGAAACACAGAATCGCTCTGGATGCTGTGCCAGAGAGGGAAAACTGGGGCTCTGGGTCAGGTTCTGCCTCTGTGCACTGCTGACTGATGATGCTACTAAAGAGAAAACCTTGGTGCTACTAAACCAAGTGGAAGGGGATGGGCTCGTCTCCCCTGCAAAGAGAAGTACTCAGAGTGTTTGTCACTGGGAGGCTCCCATCCTTGCCAGGATGCTGCTATCAGGGTGATTCCACGCACCTGCACAAGGAAGTGGCTCTCTGGGAAGATGCCACTAAGGTCAGGGCAAGCCCCTGGGCTGCCAGGGAGGCAGCAAGTCTCTTCCCAACACCAAAAATTCAGCGGCACCATGAGAGCTCTGCCGAAACGATGGCTGCTGCCTCCTCAGGGCAGGGAACTGGCTGGGACTCCCAGCATGGTGCTCACAGGAATAACACGGGTGTTTTCAGGGAGCCCATGCAACCTTGGCTAGAAATCCCAGCAGGGCTCTGGGAGCCTCCCAGTGCCACCATCTCTGCATCCATCCACCAAAGCAGTGGCGGGAAGGTATGGCACCACGGGATGTGGCTCATCTCTCCTGATGGGGAGACCGAATCCAGCGCCCCTCTCCACACCCCACTTACCCTTCTTCTGGATGATGACCCTGAGGAGGGGGTTGGCAGAGGACAGGGCTTTGTGGTAGTTGTCGTCGTTGTTGATGGGCAGGAGGTCTCCGTGGATGTCTGTGTAGCCCAGGAGCACATCCACCCGTGGGATCTGGTGCACCGTCTGCAGCAGCCGGTAGAAGTCCTGGAAGCTGCCCGCGCCGGAGCGCTTCATGGCGAAGCGGCGGAATTCAGCATCGAACTGTGGAGGAGGAGGAGGAGGAAGAGGAGAGCGAGGGTGAGGCTGGGCAGGGTTGGCTCTGACCAGCAGGACTGATCCAGGCAGGGCACCACACAGAGCTGCCCCGAGGCAGGCAGAGCCGGGCACTGCCGGCTCCAGAGCCCAGCAGCGCCAGCTGGGCAGAGCCCGTCCCAAAAACAAAGTAAAAGGAGTGAAGGCGTTTTCCTGCCCAAACATCGAAGGCACAGGGCGAGAGAGGTGCCCCCGCGGCAGAGGAAGGATCCTCCGGCCGCACCACCAGCCATGGCAGGCTCTCTGCTGCCAGGAGGCCCTTCCCTGCGACACGGGCACTGCCGGAGCACCTGGTGAGCAACAGCGTTAATTAATGCCTCCTTCCGTCACGACGAGGGGGAAGCCAATTAAGAACAGGCTGAGGAACGCTGCGAGGATCGCGCTGCCCGCGGGGGTCACACCCCGGCTGTCGGGGCAGGCGGTGGCCCCCATGCCCTGGGAAGGAGGGCACCCTGCACCCCGACAGGGGTCCCGGGCAGGCGAGGGCACTGCTGGGCAAGGGCACAGCTGGATGAGGGTGCAGAAAAGGAGTGTGCACATCTGGGTAAGCACAGGGACGGTGGGTGGGCACAGGTGGATGCATACCCGGGTGAGGGCACGCATCTGGGCACGGATGTGCCGGGTGAGCGCACATCTGGATGAGCAGCCACGTCTGGGAGAGGCCACATCTGGGCGAGCGCACAGCCATGCAGGTGTGCACATCTGGACGCACAACAGGGGCCGGCCCCTTGCTGGTGGTGCCCAGCTGTGCGATGGCATGGCCGCGGGATGTGCACGCCTTGGCGAGCGCGCACATCTGGGCGAGAGCACATCTGGGCAAGGTGTGTCCCCGGGGTGACCGCGCACCCAGCGCACCCGCACCGGCGGGGCCGCCCCGCACACGGGAGCCGCCAGCGCGGCTCACCGGCGCCCTGCGCATCTGGCGGGCGCTCCGCCGTGGCGCTCCCACGGCCGCGCCGAGCGATCCCGCGGCCCCGCAGAGCCCACGGTGGCCGGGCCGGGCTCGGGGAGCCTCCGTGCAGCGCCGCCGCAGCGCAGCGCAGCGGAGCGGGGCGCCCGCACGGCCTGGCTCCCGCGCCGCTCCCCGGTGCGCGGTGCCCGCCCCACGTGTGCCGCCCGGCGCGGGGGCGACGGCGCCCGGTGGCGAGCCGGCGGAACCGGCGGCGGCACCGGCATCACCGGCGCCGTGCCCGGCGGGCGCTTACCTTGCTCTTGACCTCGATGACGGGCTCGGCGGAGCGCGCGGGCGTGCGGTGGTGCTTGGCCATGGTGCGGGCCGGGCCGGGCCGCGGGGCCGCGCCGCCACCGCCGCTCCCGCGGCCACGGGGGATTTTCACCGGCCATGACGTCACCGGCGGGCCGGCCGGGCCCCGCCACGCCATTGGCCCGGGCCGCGCGGGGGGCGTGGCCCGGAGGCTCCTGACAACGTCGCCGTGGTAACGGGGGCGGGAGCGGGCGGGCGGCAGGACCCCCGTCCCTGTCCCCAGCCCCGTTCCCGTCCCCAGCCCCGTCCCTGCGTTCGTCCCGGACACTCCGGCCCCTCCCGGCCAGGGCACGTCTCCGCTCGCCGACGGGACGGCACCAGGCACCGTGCCGGTAAATCCCGGGCGCCCCATCGCTGTCAGGAACCTCATTAACGGCACACTGAAGCCAACGGCGGCGGGCCCTGCCCCTCTTCGGGGACAGCGGGCTCCGGCACGTGTCCAGCATCCCCGCTGCATCCCCACGAATGTCACCGGTGGAAGCCTTGGCCCCGCCTGGGGATATCCCGGTGTTTCCCCACGCTGGTGGAGGGCCCTGCCTCTCCCACCGACCTGGCGCTGCTGCTCCCTGTGCCACCGGTTTGGTGGCCTTTGGCAGAGGCACCCCTTGTAGCAGGGGGCAGTTTCCAGCTGTGCCCTTCATTTCCCACCCGCTGGTTAAAGCTTCCCTCCATTTTTTCTCCCGTGCCTGGCAAGAGAGTTTTATGCCACCCTGGAGCAGCACAGGCCAGGGAAGGTTTATTGTTTCGGGGATGAGCTGCTTTACTGAGTGGTGGAACAACTGAGCGAGAGGACAAGAAACGCTCGGGTTCACCGGGTGCGCAGCAAAGCCTCGCCGTGCCCATCCCAGCACCAGGCTGCCAGGACGTGCAGCCGGAGCACATCTCCTCGGTGCTGCCAGGCTGTGTCCACAGGTGATGCCCTCGGGATGTGGCTCCATCAGAACTCTTCCTGCTCAGGCACCGAAACACCCAGGGACACGCAGGCAACCCCTGCCCTGCAGACCCCGCCGGAGCACAGTGAGAGCTGCTGGCACCGGGGTCACCAGCATTGATCCAGACTGAAGTCTTGTTCCTGGGCTCTGAGGAATCTTGGAGCCAGAGGGGCCGTGACAGAAGCGCCATGAAATGCTTTTTAAAGCCGGACACCTAACGAGCACAGCACTTCCAACAGAATGAACTCACTGAAATGAGTCCAGAGAATCAGCCTGGCTTGTCTGGATCACGCTGCCCTCTGACCCCTGCCCTATCCCAGCCCACAGAGCAACCTTTGGATGGCACAAAATTGCATCAGATCCTGGCTTTTAAACAGAGTAATTGTGCTGAGGTCAGAGAGATAATCCTGATTTACACCGGGGTTAATATTTACGCAGGCCCTGGTGACAAAAGAAGCTTGCAGCCCTTCATCTCAAATGTTGGTAAATCAGGGTTAATTGTTCAGCAGGGCCGTGGGGTGATGGGCTGGTCACACCTTCTGTTTTGCGGCGTGGCCCCAAATCTGCTGCTACAGAGAGAGTTAAGCTAAGCAGACAGTATCAGCGCAGGCATTTGTTTTGCTTCAGTACCAGGAGCACTGAATCAGCTTTTGGAATTGGAGCATGTGGTACCAAGTGTCCAGACATGTTCATTGACTCCAAATCCACCAGTCCTTGGATGCTCTGGGTGAGGGCAGTGAGGGCCTGGTTTTTCAGGGGGCTTAACACCCCCAGCCTTGCAGAACTTTAGCACTCAGGTAGGTGCATTCCCATGAGTGGGCAGTGGGCAGCTTCAGGTGAGCTCTGCCCTTCTTGCCTGTGGCAGGGGGAAGAAAAACAGGAGCCTGAGCTCCGTCCATTGGCCAGCAACGGCACAGGGAGTCCCAGCAAAACACAGAGCCTGAGATCCTGATTTTACTCCGACGTCTCCACAGCCTTATCCTGTCCTTGCCATCCCCGGGAGCCCTCTGGGCACTCCGAGCAAAGGCCACAAGCAAGTGAGCAGCAAAGTCACCCTGGTGGTTCTGGGGGACATTGTCAAGGGTGGTCCTGGACACTGCGTTTGTCTTTCTTTCTCTCTTCGTTGGGAGCTGGGGGTCAGGGATCATGGTCTGTGTCCAAGAGCAGCACAGAGAGGGCAGAGCAGGCAGAACAGCCTCAGTGGGATGTTACATCCCCCCTGCCTGTGGGATGTAACAGAGGAATGGGCTCCGATGGCGTTGTCCACCCTCACAAGGATGTACCCTGGCAGCCGTGGAGGGTTCGTTGGACCAGAGCCGGGCTCAGCTCCTCTGTGATTTTGCTCTCTCGGCGGCAGTGCCCCGTGGCTCAGCTCTTCCCCGGGATGGTGATGCATCCCTGTGCCTTCTCTGGCTGCAAAACCCGGTGTTGGCTGCGGACTCATCCGTGCCTTCGGGCAACAGGTCCGGCTGCCAAGGAACACTGAGCAGCTCCCGAAACACGCAGAGTAAATAAATACCCGGTGCCGAGAGATAAAACTGCTGCTCGTATCCCCACGGTTTGGTTTTAAAGGACGAGAAAACCCCCTCCTGGTGCACCGCGATCATTACCACTGGTTTTACCGACGCTTGGTCTCATCTCAAAGGAAGATGGGCACCAGGAGGAGGACTCAGAAGCTCCTGGTCCACATTTTTAGGTACTTTTAAATTTTTTTTTTGTCAGTAAAAATTTCATGAATTATGAATAACACCTGTATCCTCCCTCTGGCCCCGCGCAGAAGCACGGTGAGTCCTGTCCCGGCAGAGCCAGCAGCAAGCCTGCCGAGGCAGCTGGGCAGATCTGATAAAACAACCACGGGGTGAAAAAGGGGGATGTTGATGCTTCACCTGGACCAGGCAGCGGGTGCAGCACGTGCCAGGGACCCCACAGGGCTGTGCTGCCCCGGCGGGCGGAGGGGACAGGGAAGCCAGGGGGTCCCTAAAATCAGTGTTGCTGCTGGGGCTGACGCTGTGGATGGCGGGAAGACAGCGGGCACAGGGGGGACAGCGGCGACAGCAACACTAACCCGGCCATGGCCACCATCTCACCCGGCCCGGGCGGGGCCGAGCACGGTCCCCATGGTGACGCTGTAGCCCCGCCCCTCACCCGGCACCGCCCAATCAGCGCCCCTTCCTCCCAGCGGCGGAGCACGCGGGGCCCCGTCCCATTGGCCCACGTACAAGCCCCCGCCCCCTTCGCCCGCCTCGTCGAATCAGGTGCAGCCACCGCGGCCCTGCGGCGGGGCGGGCCCCTATAAAACGCTCCCCGGAGGGGAAGCGGCTCCGCCGCCCGTCCCGTCCCGTGCCCGCCATGGAGGAGCCGCTGGCGCTGCTGGTGCGGAGCCCCTCGGGGCGGCACCGCGACCTGCGGCTCCGCGCCGCGCCCGCCTGGACCGTGCGCCGCCTCAAGACCGAGCTGCGCCAGCTCCTGCCCGACGCGCCGGTGAGTGCTACACATCCCCCTCCGCCCACCCCTTCTTCCCCTTCCCGCAGACCTGCCGGGAGGGGGGCACTGGGTCCCCGCGGGGCAGCGACGAGGGCTCCCCTGGGGCTCCCGTGGGGCTCCTGTGGCTGTCACCTGTCCGCTCCCCCGCCCCGGGGTGTCCTGGTCCCGGCACCTGAACCCCCCCACCCCAGAGAGTCCCGGTTGCATCAGCCTCGGGTTATTTTGGGACTCGGTTTGCGGCTCGCCCGCGGTTAATCATTAACCGCCCTCCCGGGACGGCGTGTCCTGCGGGTGTTTGGAGACGTCATCGCCGGCGGGAGGCACCGGGCTGTGCCGGCGAGCACCGCGCCCACCGGGAGCGGCGAGCGCGGCGGCTCCTCCCGGGGGGATTTTTTGGAGGCTGTACCCGCCGAGCGGGAGGCGAAACGCGGGGACGGGGCTTGTGCGGCTGTTCGGGGCTGAAATGCAGAAGTGCCGCTGCCCCCCCGAGCCGCAAGACTCGGGAGCTGACGCGTGAGAGCTGCTGGAGCGGCTGCGCCCCGTGTCCCGCTGCTCCCGCGGGAAGGGCTGTGCTCTTCCTGGAATCGGAGGGGTTGGAAAACACCTCCAGGATCGTCAACTCCAACCTTTGACCGAACACCACCGTGCGCGCCAACCCGCGTTGTGAAATGCCGCGTCTACTCATTTTTTTTTTGAGACTTCCCTGGACAGCCCGTTCCAATGCTTAACTACTCCTTCAGTGAAGAAGTTTTTCCTGATATCCACCCTGAGCCTGCTCTGGCGAGCCTAAGGGCATTTCCCCTTGTCCTGGTGCTTGTTGCCTGGAAGAAAATCCTTCCCCCCCTGCCGTGTTTTTGCCGTGCTCTCCAGGGAGTGAGGTGACTGCCCAGAAACAGGCTCTGTGAGCTTCCCCTGCCTCCTGTGCTGCAGGGGGGGGGCGGCTCCAGGTGGAGAGCTCCTGGGACTCACTGGATGGGCTGTAAGGGATTTACAGCTCTCCTGCTGATCAGATTAGAGGCAACTCCAAACCTCGTTTCTAGGGAACACAAATGTTTTTTTGTCAGGATTGTAAAAGAGATGGCACGTAACCAAGTCCTTTGCCAAAGGGGCTTTGTATCCTCCTGCTGATTTAGACCTCACCCGAGTAATTTAGACTTCACTCAACTAATGTCACACTCGGGGCATTTAGTTGTGCACATCTAAATTCAGCTGAAGTGAACAATTCCCTCTGCACCCTAATGTGTGGGATGCTCCCAGCTCCATGCCTCTTGTCTGGCTCCAAGTTGTTTCAGTAGTGCCTGTGTGTGCTTGGCAGAGAAATCATCCTACTCTTTGTTTTCTTTCTTCAAAGCCTGAAGAGGACCAAAAGCTGATTTATTCTGGGAAGCTGCTGCTTGATCATCACTGTCTGAGAGAATTGCTGCCAAAGGTATAAAAAATATCTTTTGATATAAAAAATATGATGTGCTGAAATATATCAAGAGAAGTGTTGGTTTTTTTAACATATTTTCCATTACATTTTTAGCACGAGGAATTGCATGCTCTTCATCTGGTGTACAAATTCAAGACTCCTGCTAATGTGCAAGAAACCAAATCAGAGGTACTTAAA